GTTTCTAAGGCATAGTTTCTTGCTTAGAATTGTCTATAGAATACGTTCCACCCCCCTACGACCATAATATATATATGTAAATATACACACAAAAAATTTTGCTTGGTAAAATTGAACAACAAAGATAGTTACGTAACTATTAAAATAGTTACGTGTATTTTGTTTTTGCTTTGGGTTTGTGTCTTTGCTAATTGTGTGTATTTTGTTGTTGTGAAATGACTATTTACTTAGTAGAATTGACAATTTTGCTGGTTGGGGCCTGTTTGACAATTATTACAGTTGATTTTACCAAGTTTTTTTTTTGTGTGTACCTATATTTATCGAGTATTACTAGGTATAAAAGAGTAAATGTCGCGTTGCATCCCAGCGGCGAAAATTGCCATTACAAAATGGATTACGAATGCATTACTTCTCCTCTCGTAATAGAGAAACAATGGATTACAACATGGATTACTTTGCCATAGGCATGGCCGCCTTGTAATGTGGTCGGGAGAAAATTTGCATTACTAGTAATGGGAAAAGTATGCTAGGGCCGAATCACCTTCGGGTCTCCATTACGAATTCAATATACTTTTCCGAAATTGTAATGCAAAATGTAGACGGACTAGAGAAAATTCAACATACAATTTGGAAAACGTATGATGAGTTGTAATGCATGTTCATTTATGAAAACAAAAAATATTCTTTCCTCATGTAGGAATTGAACATGGGTATTATTGTATAATGGATGGAAAGGCTAACCGCTCGGCCATTGTCTGTGCTTTTTTTAGTTCGTCAAACTATATTTAGAATGCATGCTGTTATTATTAAAGTTCCGAAGCTCAAACGTGAGGGAGGGGAAACGAAAAACGAACACATAGACAATAATTTTTATGTGTGTTTGTGATTTTTGACGAAGGGAAATCGTTAGCGAACGAAAAAACGAAGTCATAGGAGCCCTGATTACAACTTCTCTAACGAAAAGCAGCGATAGTAATCGGTTACATTTTCTTTACATGTAATGCATTTTTTCTCCAGACCGCATTCGCCTGTTCGCCGCTGGGATTTACTTAGCCCGCTCCTCACTCAATTCTACACACAAAAAAATTTTGGATCGCAAATAAGAGTTACTTTTTTAAAAAACAAATAAGTCTTATTTTTCAATTTTTATTATAAAAGTTGACAAATAACTTTTATGCTTCAATTTTTTATAAAAGTTGAAAAATAACTCTTGTTATTATAAAAATCAACAAATAAGAGTTATTTTTCAACTTTTATAATAAAAATTGAAAATAAAAATTTAATTGAAATAACTCTTGAACTGTGGGGTACATTGGTTTAAAATGTATAAATGTATAATCTACGCTGTAATACCTTTCTGTTGATATGCCATATGTCCCCAACATATTTATTATAATAATAATATTTGTTACATCATCAAAAATATTTTGGGGACATATGGCATATCAACAGAAAGGTATTAAAGCGTAGATTATATATATTTAAATTTTAACCAATGTACCCCACAGTTCAAGAGTTATTTTAATTTAATCTGTATTTTATTATAAAAGTTGACAAATAACTCTTATGCTTCATTTTTTATTATAAAAATCAACAAATAAGAGTTAACTTTTATAACTTTTATAATAAAAATTGAAAAATAAAACTTTTTTGTCAATTATTTGAAAAAGGTAACTCTTATTTGCGATCCCTGGTATTTTGTTTTTCCTTTGGGTTTGTGTCTTTGCTAATTGTGTGTATTTTGTTGTTGTGAAATGACTATTTACTTAGTAGAATTGACAATTTTGCTGGTTGGGGCCTGTTTGACAATTATTACAGTTGATTTTACTAAGTTTTTTTTATACCCTTGCAGAGGGTATTATGATTTCAGTCAGAAGTTTGCAACGCAGTGAAGGAGACGTTTCCGACCCCATAAAGTATATATATTCTTGATCAGCATCACAAGACGAGTCGATCTAGCCATGTCCGTCTGTCCGTCTGTCCGTCTGTCTGTCTGTCCGTCTGTCCGTCTGTCCGTCTGTCCGTCTGTCCGTCTGTCTGTTTCTACGCAAACTAGTCTCTCAGTTTTTGAGCTATCGGGACGAAACTTTCGCAAAAGTCTTCTTTCTATTGCAGGTAGTATATATGTCGGAGCCGACCGGATCGGACAACTATATCTTATAGCTCCCATAGGAAGGATCGGAAGAAAAAAACTTTAAAAAATTCTAGCTTCGGTGTTTTTTGAAATATTACCTTCTACTTTTGGGGATGTTATTTTTTAAATATTTCTGAATTTCGAATTAATTATTTAAAAAATCGGACTACTATATCATATAGCTGCCATAGGAACGATCGGAAAATTAATGGAAAAGTAATAGGAAATAAATTCTAGCTTCTTTGATTTTTATTGTATTATCTTCTACTCTAGGATATGACTCTTTTTAAATATTTCCGAATTTCAATTTTAATTTGATCAAAATCGGACGACTATATCATATAGCTGCCATAGGAACGATCGGAAAATTAATGAGAAATATTAGAAAATTAACATTTTTGCGATTTGTTAATTAATAGGAATGATCTGCAAGGGTATATAAGCTTCGGCTGGCCGAAGCTAGCTTCCTTTCTTGTTTTGTGTGTAGCAGCTAAGAATTTTTGACTTTTGAATAAATTCACTCTCAAACTGGATGTCTTTGTGTTTATACCTCTTTGTTCCACCATCCTTTCACAGTAAAAAAATGCATTTTTTAATCTTTACGAATTTCAAATAAAGTTTAGAAAAAATCGGAACACTATATCTTATAGATGCCATAGGAATGGTCGGAAAATTAAATGCAAATAAATAGGAAATAACTTATTGCTTCGGTGGTTTTTAATTAATGAGAAATAACACTAGTTTACAAAATAATATTCTTGGTGTGCTCCCCAGCAATTGATGGCAATTTCTGTTAGTGCTGGACCCCTAGATCACAAAAATAGCACTAATTTTTTTTTCGATGGCATAGTTTTTTTTTAAAGATTTTTTAAAGTTTGAAATGTTAAATTTCGGACTTTTTTCGAATTTCTTCTTATATCTCGGCAGATATCCACTCGGTTGGGCCAGTTTTAGTTTTATTTTAAATTCAATAGATCAGAGCTTAACTTTGCCATACAGATCAATACGATTGGATGAGTAATGGCAGCGCAGAAGCTCGACAAAGAGGAAAAATGTGTTTTTTGGTCGTCTGTAAGTCGGCTGTATATATCGTAAAAACTCGAAATAAATCCGTTGAAAAATCATAATGGGTACAAACTTAAAGTTTACATCCCACCGAATAAAACAAGCCGGATATGGCCCAAATCCATGGAAAACTGGATTTATGGTGGATTTTTAAAGTTCGGATTTTTCCACTTTTTTCGGTTGACATAGTCCAAATTTAAGATTTATCATAGGCGGCGACATGTAAACAAAAATAATTGGTGTTATTTTTCAACGGATTTATTTCAAGTTTTTACGATATATACAGCCGACTTACAGACGACCAAAAAACACATTTTTCCTCTTTGTCGAGCTTCTGCGCTGCCATTACTCATCCAATCGTATTGATCTGTATGGCAAAGTTAAGCTCTGATCTATTGACTTTAAAATAAAACTAAAACTGGCCCAACCGAGTGGATATCTGCCGAGATATAAGAAGAAATTCGAAAAAAAGTCCGAAATTTAACATTTCAAACTTTAAAAAATCTTTAAAAAAAAACTGTGCCATCGAAAAAAAAATTAGTGCTATTTTCGTGATCTAGGGGTCCAAGTCTAACAGAATTTGCCATCAATTGCTGGGGAGCATTTCGGCTGTAAACTAGTGTAATAGGAAATTTAACATTTTTGCGATTTGTAAATTGTTAGGAATTATCTGCAAGGATAAATAGGCTTCGGCTGGCCGAAGCGAGCTTCCTTTCTTGTTTTTGGTAAATTTTCCGAAAAAACGAAATCTCTCGAGTTTCTGTGACACCTACTGTTTAATCGGTTGGTTTGGTTTCGCGGGTCTCGTACAATAAAAAGATATATTCGGCCATAACTGGAAAATTTCGGTGTTACAGAAACTGTTTCAAAGTATGCGATTTAAGACCAACCAAACAGGCATACAGCAAGAGAATTTCCAGAGGGATCAGTGCTCTATTTTTCGCCATTTATGTAAATGATTTACCTTGTATCCTGCCCAAGTGTGAAGTGCAAATCATTGTTAGTAGTCTTGTTAAATGTAAGTAAAAAATTCCCCCTGAAACCCCGTGAAAAAGTTCACCAGGTGCAAACCCCTGAAATTTTACATAGGATTTTATTGTGGAATCAAGCACCACATGCCTGAAAGTCCGACTAGGAACACTCTCTTGAAGGGAACACATAGGCAAGGCAACCGAGGCAACATTCGGCGTATTACGCCAACTCTTAAAAACCAAATTGTTTTTGCCTTTGGATATATAAGAACTTTTTCTTTAGAAATATGCTGCTAAATGCAAAATATATAAAATTTTTCGGTTTAGAAAAAATATGATTTTTAAATTTGCAAAAAAAATTGATCAATCAAAATCTTTTGCATTTGTATTGATTATACGTTTTCTGTCAGGGGTGTCACTGAAACTGTTGGTGTCACGGAAACTCTAGAGTTTCGGAGTAAATTTGCTCTGATTTTAAAAATTTTTTATTAATATCAACTATTTGGTTGGTTTTATCTTGTTATCTTTATTTTAAAACAGTTGGTTAAAAGAGATCTCTGAGACTAAACTTAGGCTTGCCAAAGAGAGATTCCGTTTTGCATTCAATGTTAATCCTCAGAACACTTGTTCCTTGTTTAGAGAGCAGAACATTTTTTTTAATTCACTCCCCTAAGCTAAATAAACTGTTCCAGAGTTGTACAGAAAAATACCACAGAGCAGATGCAGTGTCGTCAAACCAAAGTTACTGAAACGTAACCTAAACTCGTTGTATGCATATATTGCTGTAGCACCGGTATCTCGTTGGCACGTTTAACAGAGCCAAAAAGCTAACTCAACGTTCAGTTTAGCTCAGTTAACCCGCGGTGAAACTTTGTCGAGACAAGAGCTTTAGTGTGAAAGAAAAGTGAAAAGCCTTGTTGCTTGTTGATTTGCTTTGTTTTATCGGGCTAAGTGTCAATGTGCTAATAAGATCAGTTGGTTAAAAGTGTCGCGACGTTGTAAATGTGGGCAAGGGTATTTTTAAAATCGCATTGTTTTAAAATCACTCATTTTTATGGTTGTCATATTAAAAAGTGTTATCAAATAATTCGTTTGCATTGGTGAAAGTGAGTTAACGGTTTTATATACCACCGAATATTGCCGCCTACAAAAGCAGTCACAGCAACAGCATTGCTGCTGAGCCTCATCTCGGAGCAATGTCAATGTATATGGATAGGAGATTAAAGTGCAGCACAGTATAACACAAATTTTACACGGGACTGTATATGAAGAAATTTAAATATTCGTTAGTCTATAACGAATTTAATCGCTCACATTCAAAAATTTATAAATTCGCATTGGAATTTGGTATGAGCCATCTAAATAAAGAAGTAAGATATGATTGCTGACATCAATTCAGTTTGTTAAAAGTTTATATAACACTAGTATACAGCCAATCTACAACAAGAAGGATGATGTTGGTTCCGGGTTGAGTTAGATCCCTAGATTACAAAAAAGATGTCGACAAATGTGTTACTTTTAAAACTAGTCGAACCCCTGTACTGGGGTAATAAATACAACTTACTTTCGCTGTTAACGGAATAGGGTAAATGAGATAATTCTTATACAATTTTATTGGGCTCTTTGTACACTAATCATTTGATATAAAATGGAGTACATTTGTTGTGGTTTTATATCTAAACTTTCTTTGCTATTAAAAATGCGTTTATAGCTTTTTGAAGTTTATTGTTTTTATACCCGTTACTCATAGAGTAAAAGGGTATATTGTATTCGTGCAAAAGTATGTAACAGCTAGAAGGAAGCATATCCGACCCCATAAAGTATATATATTCTTGATCAGGGTCACTAGCCAAGTCGATATAGCCATGTCCGCCCGTCCGTCCGTCTGTCTGTCCGTATGAACGCTGAGATCTCGGAAACTATAAAAGCTAGAGGGTTGAGATTTCCCACACATATTCTTTGGCTTCCTACGCAGCGCAAGTTTGTTTCAAAAGGGTGCCACACTTCCTCTAACGCCCACAATCGCTTATATACGATTTTAAAAATTTCAATATTTCGGAAAAGTAAAAATGCAGTTTTATTGTGTTTATGAATACCTATCGAAATGTAGAAGAAATTTTTTAAATCGGACCATTCGTTAAAAAGTTACGGCGGATCAAAGTTTTTACCTCCATCTCCTTCGCACTTCCTTTAGGTGAGTAACGGGTATCTGATAGTCGGGGCACCCGACTATAGCGTTCTTTCTTGTTCTTCCTTGATTTCTACAATTCCATCATTTTTTAAAAATTTTGCGCTGCCCAATTTATGTTTTGCCGCCCTTAACCGCGACTTGAGCCATTTTTCTCAGTTTGACTACAATTTGGTTCATCAAGCTCTCGCTGACACATCACTATGGACGGCAGTCCATGTAGTGACGAAGCGCACGAGGAGAGTGTTGGAAGGCGACTGTTGTGATGGTCCGATCATCGAAATCATCATCGAAAGGTATCACATAAACTAACAGGATTGCATACCAAGACTTTAAGAAAATCAATTGGCTTGGAAGAGAGAGTGGAGAAAATAAAAAAGTAAAAATTTCGAATTATGGAGCTGTTGGGGCCGGTGGGGATAAATGCCCCCACCCAATGTTTTAGTTGTTTTCCTATTGAAAATACCCGTCGAATGGTCATATGATAAAATCCGATGCTTCGTCCAAAAGTTATAGCCAAAATCTTCTTCTCGTTTCCAAAATGAAAATTTAATTCTGTTTGTGAGTTTGTCAGTCTGTCCCAAAACGTTGGTTTAAAGTCCTGAAAATTTTATATGGTGTTAATCAGCTCGATATAAGAAACATTAGTTCTACCGCTTATGGAAAAACTAGCTAGTTTAGCGGGTAAACAGCTATGAATAGCTAAATTTCGTAAGCCTATAACCTGCGAAATACTTAAGCTACAGACTTGTACCTCATATTAAAGGTATTTTTAAGTACAATCAACGCCTTCCTAACACTATTTATGTACATGCAATAGTTAAAAACTTATGCCACAACCATATTTTTATACCCTTGCAGAGGGTATTATGATTTCAGTCAGAAGTTTGCAACGCAGTGAAGGAGACGTTTCCGACCCCATAAAGTATATATATTCTTGATCAGCATCACAAGACGAGTCGATCTAGCCATGTCCGTCTGTCCGTCTGTCCGTCTGTCTGTCTGTCCGTCTGTCCGTCTGTCCGTCTGTCTGTTTCTACGCAAACTAGTCTCTCAGTTTTTGAGCTATCGGGACGAAACTTTCGCAAAAGTCTTCTTTCTATTGCAGGTAGTATATATGTCGGAGCCGACCGGATCGGACAACTATATCTTATAGCTCCCATAGGAAGGATCGGAAGAAAAAAACTTTAAAAAATTCTAGCTTCGGTGTTTTTTGAAATATTACCTTCTACTTTTGGGGATGTTATTTTTTAAATATTTCTGAATTTCGAATTAATTATTTAAAAAATCGGACTACTATATCATATAGCTGCCATAGGAACGATCGGAAAATTAATGGAAAAGTAATAGGAAATAAATTCTAGCTTCTTTGATTTTTATTGTATTATCTTCTACTCTAGGATATGACTCTTTTTAAATATTTCCGAATTTCAATTTTAATTTGATCAAAATCGGACGACTATATCATATAGCTGCCATAGGAACGATCGGAAAATTAATGAGAAATATTAGAAAATTAACATTTTTGCGATTTGTTAATTAATAGGAATGATCTGCAAGGGTATATAAGCTTCGGCTGGCCGAAGCTAGCTTCCTTTCTTGTTTAAACTTTATTTTACCCTTTTTGTTATTTTTCTCAAAGACGCACTATGGGGCGCCTAGAACAAAAAGCCTGCCAAAATGGTTTTTATTTAAGATTTTTCAAAATGTTGCAGTGCAATTTTAAAAACAACTGAATTCTCTATACAAATCAAAAAGAACAAGAGAGAACGCTATAGTCGGGTTCGTGTCCCGACTATCTAATACCCGTCACTCGGCGAAAGGGAGTGCGAGGGAGATGGATATATACCATATTTTTCATTGCGTATTACTTTTTAATAAATGGTCCGATTAGAAAAATGTCTTCTACATTTCGATAGGTATAAATATGCACAACAAAATTGCATTTAAACTTCTCGGAAATCTTTAAAGGTGTGGGCGCCAGACCCATTTTAAAATCGTTAGTGGGCGATTGTGGGCGTTAGAGGAGGCGTGGCACTCGGCTGAAATAAACTTGCGCTGCGTAGGAAGCTCAAGAATATGTGTGGGAAATCTCAACCTTCTAGCTTTTGTAGTTTCCGAGATCTCAGCGTTCATACAGACAGACAGACGGACAGACGGAGAGACGGACAGACGGACAGACGGACATGGCTAGGTCGACTCGGCTAGTGATCCTGATCAAGAATATATATAGTTTATAGGGTCGGAAACGCATCCTTCTACCTGTTACATACTATTGCACGAATCTAATAGGGTATATATATATACTCTACGAGTAACGGGTATAAAAAGTGATCTGTGATGGATGGTTCTCCCACTAAAGATTTTTAAAGTTGATTTTTTAAAATAGAATTGTAGTCAATAAAAAAAAAGTATTTTTCTACGTCTTTGAAATTTTTCTGAAAGCGCCTAAGGGCCTAAGTTGTATATATAACGATTGAAATTTTAAAAGCAACCAATTCTTAGAATATTAAAAAAAAATACAAATTTTAAGTGCATAATTACTATTTTTTTTAAATTTTTAAAAGTGGTCCAAAAAAATTGTTTTTTTTTGATATTCTTGGACGTAAAGTAGTGTTATACCCTAGATTCCCTTTAATTCTTTTTTTTTTAAGATTAGATATTTACCTACAAATTCTGAAAAAAAATTAGCCTGCCCTTTTGTGCCTCTTCTGAGATAAGCGCGGTTAAAGTTAGCAAGAAATGTTCGTAATTGGAATAGTCGCCAGCCCTGGTTTCTCCGCGTACAGCATGAAGATATTTTACTTATGGGAAGGTATTGATGAAGATAATAATGAATTAATAAAAAATGTAGGATTTAAATTAAAAATGATGTTATTTTACTAAAAAAATACCGATTTCTACCAATTTTTTTCAAAATGTTTTATATTTTCTTGATTGATAAGAGTTAAATTGATAAATAATGACTTAATGTGACTTAATTCCGATTTATATTTCCTACAACTAAAAAATTTTACTAAAAAAAATCACCTTATGATGTTTTTTTACGTATTTAAACCTCATCAAAGTTGTTCGCTATAGGGCTCCGCTGATTTAAGGCAGACTTTTGGCTTTTTCGATTTTCTTTAAAACTTTAAACTATATATCCCTTGAAACTCCTTAAATTTTGGTATATAGCACGTTATTTTAAAAACTCACGTTTAAAAGTTATTAAGAAACGAAAAAATCCACTTTGGCCAGCTCAGAACAACTAACTCTTCCTGAGCATTGAAGTTTTTGCGTGGATGTCTAAACTCTATTTTAGGGTCATGGAATCAGTTAATTTACATTTAACAGTTCCATATAGGAATCTTTTGTTCTACGACTTTTGAAAAAAACCCGCTACTTTAGCGGGAAAAAAGCTAAAAATAGCTCAGTTTCGGTAGTTTGTAAGTTCTACACTACTAAAGCTACAGACATGTGCTATACCTCGTTTAAAAGGTATTTTGTAATACTTTAACGCCTTTTTAACCTAATTTGTTTAAAAACAATAGTTTTAAAATTATGATTGACCAATATAAATGTATATATTAGCTCCTATGAGAGCAAAAGTAAACAAACAAAAACTTCTGATATCAAATAAAAACACCTCTTGCATGAAATTTCCCTTCAGAAAAGAATTATTTCAAAAAATCTCGCGAGCGACCAAAGCAGAGCAGAATGAAACTATTTTCACAAACTTGACATTGACGGAAACTGGTTCGTAATTTCTTCAACTGATACTAACGGGTGTTTTTTTAGAGGTATAGAACTTTAAGTTGCAATAAAAGAACAATGGATTATTAGATTGACATAAGTTTTTGTTTATTCGAAAGATAATCTTGTGGCATTACATTTTATAAATGATTTCTGGCATATGACCGCCACGGCTGGCTCGGATGTAGTCCAATCTGGACGTCCAATTTTCGATGACTTTTCCCAACATTTGCGGCCGTATATCGGCAATAACACGGCGAATGTTGTCTTCCAAATGGTCAAGCGTTTGTGGCTTATCCCCATAGACCAATGACTTTACATAGCCCCACAGAAAGTAGTCTAGCGGTGTTAAATCACAAGATCTTGGAGGCCAATTTACGGCCAAAAACGTGAAATTAGGCGGTCACCAAACGTGTCATTCAATAAATCGAATAAAATAACACTATT